TGATTTTACATGATTATTAAAGATTGCTTACGCCAAATCGTGTGCAAAAATCCTGATGAAAATTGTTATATTGGTGAATGCAGTAAATGTCCTGGTATTATTGAACTAAAAAAACATTTGAAAGAACTCTTAGATGAGAAAGGTATTCACCACATACAGTTCAGTGTCTGGACAACAACTGACAAATCAACTCTTCAGACGCAAATTTTTCCGTCGTCGGAATTTGTCGATAAATTTTGTGACAAATTAATCATTCTAAAACCTCATTCTTTCATTGCAAAAGAACAATTTCGATTCTATCAGGAAAGAAAAGAAGAATTTAAAAAAAGGTGAAGTTCTTGCAGTATTAGATTTTTCTGAGAATTACAAGTATGTTGTGCAAGATGCATCGCAGGCGTTCCATTTTAATAATTCACAACGTACTGTCTTTCCTGTCGTGTGTTACTATAAAAAAGAGTTAGAACTTGAACACAAAAGTTTTATTTTTTTGTTCGGATAGTACACTTCATGACACAGCTGTTGTATATATTGTACAAAAGATGCTGATTCCTGAATTGAAAATAATAATTCCTGAGCTAAGAAGAGTAATCTACTTTAGCGATGGGGCAAAACAGCATTTTAAAAATAAATATCAGATGATGAATCTAATGCATCACGAAGAGGATTTTGGTGTTGCCGCGGAATGGAACTATCATGCCACTGCACATGGTAAAGGTGCTTTAGACGGTGTAGGTGCTGTGTTCAAAAGGGAAGCTATGTGAGCTAGCCTCCTTAGTAAACCGAACGATGCCATTCTTTCATTCGAGAAACTTGTTGACTGGGCTCAAAAAAATTCTAAAAGTATTAGTATACTGTCATATAATGACAAAGAGCACCAAAAAACAAAAAAATTTTTGAAAAAACGATTTGATGTAGCTCCACCAGTTCCAGAGATTCTGAAAAATCATTGTTTCGTCCCAATCAACAAAGAAATGGTGATTAAGAGATATTCCAATGCTGGTAATAGTTCGACTTTTTCATATCAAGATTTCAAAAAGTAGGGGATAAGAGCTCAGGCGACATCAAAATCAGAGGTATCTCTAATATCAAGTTTTATAAAAATCTGTCAATTTCCTAAATTTTCAATATTTTTGGTCTTTATATTAGATCTAACATTTTCAGTTTTCGAAATCCGACTTAAGATTTGTATTTAGCTGGCCGTAAAACTCTCTGTTCAAATTTTATAAAACTCCCTTACTTTTAAAAATTTTTCAAATTCTTAGTTGCCATATTAGATCCGCCATTTTGAATTTTCAAAATGCGACTTCAGATTCGTTATTAGCAACGCAAAAAAGTCCCTGATACCAAGTATTATAAAAATTCGTTAATGTCTAAAAATTTTCAAAATGTTTTGGTAGCCATATTAAATTCGTCATTTTGTATTTTCGAAAGATAACTTTAGACTCGTATACAGTAACCCGAAAAACCCCTTGATACCAAGTTTTATAAAAATCAGTTAATTTCTTAAATTTTTTAAATTTTTGGCGGCCATATTGGATCCGCCATTTTAGTTTAGACTCATGTGACAGTGCACAGATAAACAGAGTACTCGAAAGTGTTAATTGGAAGAGAAAAATGTCGAATGAATAATCGCTACACTTGAATAATTACCGTTTTTATTATTTTTTTTCGGTTTTCTGAAATTTTAAGTATGATCCAATTGAATTTGATAATTTTGCCACGCGCATTAGAAAGCTTACATTTTTCTGTAAATTTTAAGATTTTTTCAAAAATTTTTAGATCAACTAGAAAATGGGCAGCATGGGTGTAAAGTTGAGAAAGAATGCCCCATATATATATATAATGTATATTATGTGCTTTATATTATCTATATTCATATCAAAATATCTTTCTAAAAAATTGACATCATTTTGTATACTCTTTTTACAATAAATGTATATGATGTATGCCATATTTTTTATTTCTAAAGCATGAAATATAAAGATATTTTTAATCTCTTGTGTCTATTATTTGTAAAAAAATCTTGATAAAAGAAACAACATTAATTTTGCAATAATCTGTTTCAATATATGCTTCTTTTAAATACTTACAGTTAGCCTTATTTTATGTGATTAACTTGGTATTTAAAATACGTATTAAAATCAAAAATGTATTTTTATTACAGTAGAAAAGAAATATTCTTGTCTTACAACAGAGAGAAATGGCAAAATATAATATTGTCTAAATTACAGTCCAATAAAAACTGTTAAAATTTAACATTTTATAAAACCACTGTGATTCATGAAAAATCAGAACTGTTATTTCAAAAATATAGACATATTTCGACTGTGTGTTTTAAATTGCACTACACATTCAAAAATCACAGAATAATTTTATTTCTGCAAAGTTGTGTATAATGTCAGTGGAAAAGTGATTTATTTGTTATTACATATACATGATATTTAACCATTCCTCTCTGGTGTAAGACTACAATGTTTTTTTTCTACTAAATTAGAAATTAATTTTATATTTAATGTGTATTTTAGATACCAAGGTAAACGCATCAAATAAGGCTAATTGTAAGTATTTAAAAAAAGTATATATTGAAACAGATTATTGCAAGTCACAAAATTAATGTTGTTTTTTTATCAAAATTTTTTTACAAATGATACATACAAGAAACTAAAAATACCTTTATATTTCATGCTTTATAAATAAGTTATATGACATATACATTTATTATAAAAATATATACAATATACAAAATGATATTAACTTTTTACATAGATACTTTGATGTGAATATGTATAATATGGAGCACATAATATACATAATATACAGGGTGTCCCAGACTTACCGAATAACCGGTTCAGGGTAGACTCCTGACGTTGTTCTGAGACGAAAGTTCCTTTGGCAAAATGTCGAGGGTGTCGTAATTTCGGCGTTATGAAGGGTAAAAGTTTCCCAATCGATGCGCTGAATTTTCCCGCGCTCAGGGACATCGCACATCAAAAGAGCCCCGTGCATCGCGCAACGATTGACTCGATCGAGCGCGTTCCTCGCGATTGTTCACGCATTTACTGTTCACTGTTTCACAGTACTCCACAGGAAAAGGAGTCAGATCCGCCGGAGACCTCGCCGGCCAGTGCACGGGCGCACTCCGCGTAAGATTTATCTATCCGCGTATCTCGCGTTTAACACGCGACGCGTTTTCGCGCACGTGTGTGGCGAGGCTATCGTCGCGTCACTTTTCGACACTTTTTTCGCGACATTGACATTCGTGTGACCGACAAAAAAGGACAGACTGATCGCTCACCGAATTGCACAAAATCACGACACGCGCGCGGAACTGTCAAGCACTAGCGTGAAGCATCGTGCGCTCCCGCGATAGAAAATCGATATGAGCACTGCGAGGTATGACCTACCGCGCCTTACGTCAATACGGAGCAATCAATGTGCACTGGCCGGCGAGGTCTCCGGCGGATCTGACTCCATTTTTCTTGTGGAGTACTGTGAAACAGTGAACAGTAAATGCGTGAACAATCGCGAGAAACGCGCTCGATCGAAACAATCGTTGCGCGATGCACGGGGCTCCTTTGATGTGCGATGTCCCTGAGCGCGGGAAAATTCAGCGCATCGATTGGAGAACTTTTGCTCTTTATAACGCCGAAATTACGACACCCTCGACATTTTGCCAAAGGAACTTTCGTCTCAGAACAACGTCAGGAGTCTACCCTGAATCGGTTATTCGGTAAGTCTGGGACACCCTGTATACACATGAAGCACATAAATAAAAGTATTTTACAGAAATTGAAAGAAGAATTAGAATATGAATGTATGTAACTAAATAAATGTAAATGTTTGTCAAAAATAGTTGCAAAATTTAATGTGTAATACATACACTTTATCCTTCAGAGTGCCTTCAACCCATTTTTTTCAGCCGGGTTTTGTAGCACATAACACACACACACACACACACGCGCGCGCGCGCGCGCGCCTACACACACATAACTAATCTAAAAGATTCTGTATATGACAGATAGCACTGATTGTGAGAACTGTATAGCGCCTCTATCCCAAAATCCCGGAACTAATCTATAGCTCTTTTTACCTTATTTTTTCTATATTGCACACATGTTTTGCATAAATCTGGAAAAGGGTGGCGTTTTGAAAATAAGTCCTTAAGCTTTATTTTTTTGGTTTTCCATTTTGTATCATTTGCTCTTCTTCGGCACATGGTCTTGTTTTGCAGATTGAAACAGTATAATTTTGATATAAAAGATATAATATTCTTTGAGGTGACATTGTCGGTAAATTTTCAAAATTTTTTTATTATTTTGGTTTAAATTTGACCAACGGCCGAAAGATTAGCATATGTACTTTATTTACACCAAAGGATTTGTAATTCTATTAAAGCAATAAAAAACGCCACTCTTTTTAAAAAATTGAAGTTCGGTCGGTAACAATATGACTTCAGCATCCTCTTAAGCATTGCTACACGATTTACAGTCGGTGATAAATAACTTACAGATAAATAGCCCAGTGAACACTATTACGTAACATTTTCGTAACCACTACGAAACAATGTTTTGCTGATTACGTAACATTTACGTTATTTTCAGGCCACGTCGGGTCAAAATGTCAGCACCATTTGGTTCTATTTGGCGCTACAAAGGCGTAACATTTACGTATAAATCTACGTACCTTTTTCGTGTAAAACTATGTAACATGTATATACAAAGCTATGTAACATTAACATACAAAGTTACGTAACATTTTCGTACAATGTTATGTAGTCTTAACGTTTAAAGTAACATAACGTAACATTTACGTATAAAATTACGCAACATTTACGTGCAAAGTTACGTAACATCTACGCACAAAGTTGAGTAACATTTGCGTATGAAAGTGCGTAACATACAGGTTTTTTTAGTGAATTGCGATTTTGGCCATATTTAGAATGGCATTGCGGTGAAGGAAATTTTATTTCTTCGTCCACTTTATCTTAAAATGCTATCTTTAATGTTGAAAATGCATTTTCTTTTGTTTATGTACGATTTTTTTTATCAAGTAATGATGGGTTAAAAATACATGAGGCATCTAGTCCTAGGAGACGGCACATACATGCACTCTTATGGATCATCCTAAAATATGTATCTTTAAGCGTTCATAACTCGGTGAAAAAAAAAATAGTACAGAAAGAAACAAAAAATGCATTCTAAAGGTTAAAAATCTAGAAGATTTCTAAAGAGGGTCCGGATTGAAACTGAAACGTAATAATAGTTAATTCATGTCGTAAGCAGTTCCATAGCCGCGGTTTAATTCAATCATGCATGGTATTTCACAAGTCAAAGACGCAATCAGCGTAGAACAGTGTTATAAATATGCATATTTATAAAATCCAATCAAAAGCTGGTTTAAACTTTTATTTATTTTAATGAATAAAAAACAAATTATAATATAAAATATATTATCTTAAGATAATATCACGTAATATCACAATTATTTTCTTTTATGCGAAATTAAATTATTGCAAAACAGAAAATTGCACTTTCAGTTGAACAATTGGAAAACTTTAATTAGCACATGTAATAATAACGTAATCTCGTTTAGAATATCTTTCATAAGTTTTAGAACATCGTAAGATTTAAATTTTAGCACATCTTATAAATAAAATTTCAAGAATCACGTTTTTAACATCCTTTAGAAATTTTAGAACGCATCTTACAAAACTAAATAAAAATATTTGAATATAATTTCAATAATCTTGTTTGGAACATCTTAAAAATTAAATTCAAAATTAATTTAATTAAATTAAATTGTAGTACATTTCGAGAATCTTGTTTAGAAAATTCTTTAGAAATTTTAGAACACTGTACAAATCTAAATTTTAGAACATCTTAAAAATATTTTTATAACATTTCAAGAAACGTATTAATTACGTATATTTGTACATATACGACTACTTTTCTTTGGCTACCTTCTGATTATCTCTGACGAGCCTTTGCCCACCTTGGCGAAACCATTCTTTGGTTATATCCTCAAACTCCTTCATACTAAATTCGTGGTGAGCCAAAATTATCGCTGAAACATTCATTACAATGGCATAATTATAACCATGAATGAACATTATAATTTTTAAGTATTAAAACATATTTTACCATGTATGGCCGTTATTATTGTTTTTAGGTCACTGATTTTGAAATGATTACGTAGACCTTTCCAGGATGACTGTTTGGCAACGTCATTGCTGAATACAGTTCGGTATATTCGAATCAAATTTTCTTTACCGCAGCTTCCACCTATACGAGATATACACGCCATCTAAACAAATATAACAAATAGACAATATTAATTGTAATGTATAGCACATTCCATCAAGGGAACAATGTGACGCCTAATTTTTTATTGACCTCCAATTTTCTTCATCCTTTAGTACCGTCAAGAGAGGTTATGCCCTAAATTTTTTAAGACTTCTAACTCTATTAGGGGCTGAGATAAACGATATCAAAATTTTTTTCACTTTATATAGTGAAATGTTTTCACTAATTTTTTACGTGTAACTTTCACTGAAACAAAATTTCTCCAAATACACTTTTTTTTATTTTTAATTTTTTTTTAAATATTTATTCTGCTCTATCAACTTTTCTTACTACTAAAATGCATTTCCTTCTTTAAATTACATTCTTTTTTGCCTTTCCACCATATCAAATCGCTATTTTTATTATTTTTCTTAGAAAAGTTCAAACTTTTTACATAAAAATATCTCACTTCAATTGTGAGCCAGATTTAAAAACAAGGCAAAATAAAATATTTATCTTTAACTTTTCAAATTTATTTAAAAAAATTTTGCAATCTACAATAGAATCTTTCATGAATTTTATAATCAACAAAACTATCAAAAAAAATGTTTAAAATTCATTAAAAATTCTAAATTGCAAATTTTTTATAAATTCAAAAAATTATAAAATATTTTTTTTTGCATTGTTTTTAAATCCAGCTCACGATTGAAATGACATATTTTTATATAAAAAAATCTGAATTTTTCAATAAAAAAAATAAAAATTACGATTGTATATAGCGGAAGGGCGAAAAAACGCAATTTAAATAAAAAATGGATTTTTTCGTAGTAAAGAAAGCTAATAGAGCAAAATAAAGATTTTGTTTGACTAAAATTTAAAATCATTGCGTAAAAAAACATTGAAATCATCTCACTAAATAGGTGAAAAGAAATTTTGATATGTTTATCTCAGTCCCTAATAGAGCTAGAGATTTTAAAATTTAGAGTCTTCCTCTTGACACTAATAAAGGATGAAGAAAATTGGAGGTCAATACAAATCGTTCCCTGATAATTGGTGGAATGTGTCATATAATTCAGTAAATAAAAGAGCCAAAATAGAGCTTACAAATTTGTTATATTCCTCCAGATTTTCTGATAAATTTCTTTCTAAAGCCTTGACATCGTCAATTGTTTTTAGTGGGAGAAAGCGCTGCATATTTGATACATCCAAGATAGGAGGATCTCCAGAAGTAGTTTGATTAACTTTTTTTTTGACAGCTACTAAACGACTGCTTAATTCTTTGACTTGTTGTGAAAGGTCGGTTAACGTTTCATATATTACTTCGAAATGAGCTGAAAAATTAATAATTTTAAGATAAAACTGCAAAAAAGCAGATAGTACCCTGATGAAAATATTTTGCTGAAAATACTATAAAATCAATAAAAAGTAAAATAAAAGTTTTTGAAAAATTACTGAATATGTTTCAAAATAAATCATAATTTTCCGTATGAAAATTTAATGTAATACTATGAAATATAAGAAAAGTTAAAATATACTGCTAAAAAGTAATAAAAAAGTTTTGAAATAATTATCATTATGAAATTTACTGAATTAAACTGAAAATTGTTACTTTTTAATGAAAAATTGCTGAAATATTTATAAAATTAATTAATGGGAGAATTAATTGAGAGAAATTTTCAAATACATTTCAGCAAAATTTCGTTATATTTTTTCAGAAAAATATTTCCATCAGGGTAAAGTTGTACAAAAAAAAGATACCTTCCATGCGAGCTGATGTTTCTGTGATTAATGTATGTAAGTTTCTTATACCTACAAAATTTTAAAAGTGCTAGAATAATCCCGCAATATCACTAATAAAACTGTAAATGAGATCAAGGAACGACTATCAATACAGGTATAAACTTCAATTAACAAACACATCGGTATAAGTAAATATTTATGGAAGGTATTGCATAAAAACGACGTGAGGTTTACAGCACCTCACTGTAATAAGTGCGTAATTTTTGTATAGTGTGTCATACTAAGATTTATAATATAGTAAATGAAAATTTGCCGTTACTTTTATGTGATACGACAGATCCGTCAATAACCTGCAGATCTACGACTTCTTGAACAGGCTCATCGAGAATTTTCGAGGATATCTTAACTGACTTCTTTTTATTAATTGTAAGAGCTGGTGGGTTTGGTAGAACCGATGCCGGCTCAGAATCACATTTGGAATCAGAATTAGACACCCCAGTTTTTTTCTTTTGGGTTCTACTTGAAATACGCTACTTTTTCTTTATGTGAATTAATGCGCTATCATCGCATGAAGAATAGTTCATCGCCTTCTCTCTAGTCTGTTTTAAAGAATCTTCGTGGGAACAAAATCGTACTTTTCATGTTACGTTGTTTTTCAACAATATTATAACATACAAGCTAAATATACAATAAAATACAGATTACCGCAATATCCATGAAATTCAACAGGATACAGACACCACTTAGGGTCATCAATATCAGGCAAAGCTTGTTTTGCGATTAAAGTATTTATATTTTTTAGTGATGGCCACCAGCATTTTGATGATTGTTGGAGCCATACACTTGGCTTCTCTGATACAATTTCTTGCTGATTATTTCCATCTTGTGTAAACGTGACGACAGCGTAATCTTTCATCATTGTTGAAAATCTATCGAAGTAATATAATAATAATAATCATTGTTGAAAATCTGTCGAAGTAATATAATAATAATATTTGATAAATCATATTAATTTGTTTTATTTGCATGCGTTAAACTAATATCTTAATACTCGCCATGAAAATATTTCTTGCTGATGGAGTAAAGACAATATTACAGCTTCTTCTTCGGCAGCATAACGGCAGTTTTATGCATTTTGTTTTAATTTTTGTCAGACAAAAAAGTACTGATTAACTTGTATTGTAACTTGTTAATTTGTTTAATTTTAACATGTAAGGAGTCGCATGGAATTTCGAAAAATTATTTGACGTTCAAATACTTTTTACCATCAACAAAAAAGTTGTTATTTTTAAAATAAATTTTTGTAAGCGAAATCGTTGTACCGTCTAGCAAAGAGCAACAATTATCAGCAGCTTTTGTAATAAGATAGAAATCCTTGCATTGAATCGATTTTATTAGCCTTTCATCGTTAGCATTTGTAATATTACTGAATTTAGGAATTGGATAATTCTTTTCTTTGCGCGTAATATTCAAATTATTTTCTTCCATGCAATGATTAACTAGCTGCTGTAATGGCCGACTTGAAGATCTGATCTTTTTTTAATTTTTTGCATGTGATTTTCGAACTTACATGCGCTAAATTTGTCCAGCGTTTCCCATAATTTCACGTAGTTGCACAGATGAACTAAATTATGCACATTATACGAGACATGCTGATAACCATATAATATACCGTAATTTTCAACGAAATACACCAATAAGCTTTGCGCATAATCAAGAAGTTGTACGTAATATTTTTTAGAACACAAAATTTGTATCGCTACACTGAGGTTTAAGAAGTGAAGGTACTTATCGCAAGATAATTTTTTGTAAAATATTACAGGACCAATATATAATAACAATTGTCTAAATTCAATAGCCTTAAACCGATCGACCTGATTTAGCTCTCTTGGTTTTCTACCAAATTTCTTGGGTAGGAATATCGACAATGACAGCAAGAAAGTTGAAATACGCTCTAATAGAGCTGGCACAAAACGTATACCAAGTTTATCTTTCACCCAAAAGTATAACAATTTTTTCATCACTCCTAACAATACCAGGTGCATATAATCTAAAGGAAATTGCGTGACCATTCCAATGTCCAGTTTTTCAAGATTTGACGTGAATTTATGATGCTCTTCTTGTTGCTTTAACTTAAAAGATTCGTCCGATCTCAGCGTCGCATTAATTTCTTGAAATGTTACTCTATGTTCGATGTAATCTCCCTCCTGTATGCAATTGCCACAACCAAAATGTCCATTATGCCCAACAATTCCTTTGATAAATGATTTGGCAGGAATATCGCAAATAAATACATTAATTTTAACAGTTATTTTTTTATTATATTCAATAATGCCTGATTGAAGAATTTTTATGCAATTGTTTTTAAAATATTGCATAAAATTTTTACTGCATTTTGGCTTTTTACTACCATGGTATACACCAACGATAAATGGTTCGGTGTAAAAATCTGCCACTATACAAGTCAAAATGGGCCATAATTGACTGCCGGAAGATTTTGTTAAGGGAAGGCCATCTACATTAACATTAATATTAATTTGCGATGGACAAGAAGCTTCTGAGTAATGTTTTTGAACAGATTTTTTCAAACTTTCACCTAAACCTGCATGATAGTAATTCCCTGGTTCTATTTCAATAATATTATTAACTTGCTTCGGAGTTCGAAGCAAAGTTCGTGCATCAGCAGGAAGGTCATGGCCGCATTTTATTAAAATTTTCAATAAATCGCTTATAGCAAATTGACTTAAACAATTCTCAATAGCCTTCGAATCTCTTCCGATATTTCGGTTTCAACGAACGAATCCTTCTCAGAATTGCTCGATGAAAGATTACTTTCATTAGCACTAATTCCTGAACATATAGAAATTAAGTCATCTTTTAACACGTCATTGTCAATTCGTAGTTGCATTACATTGCAGTATACATTAGAATCGTCAACGTCAACTTCCCTTATATAATTTTGCTGCTGAGGCTCTATGCTGTCTTGTACATTTGATTTGCTTACAATATCATTTTCAACTTGTGAAATATTGAAATTAACAGACCGGTTACGAATATTATTAAGATCTTTCAAAAAATTACGTCGTTGCTGCCTTGGTGTTAAACAGGAAATATCAAGTTTTAGTTTTGATTTGGGCATGACTGCTTTCAATAATAACTTAAAATAAGTTAATTTAACAAATATGAGACAAACAGATATGAAAAAAACACGTTGCCGTGTAGTTATTTATTTTTATCTAATTCTCTAAAAAAAGATAATAAATTTTCAATTTTATAACACCGTGATTTCACAACCATGTAACAAGTATTTAAACAAAACCATGCAATGAAATCGTACTGACTAAATGAAAAAACAAAGACCGAGGACCGGCTTGCTGTGAAAATACACGCTGTCACCTCGTTGTAATTATAACCTTTTTTGCTTTGAAAAAACAAAGGAACACGTTGCATGTAGTTATTTATTTTTATCTGATACAAGTATTTAAACAAAAACATCCAATAAATCATACTTACCAAATGAGAACATATCGACGTCAACAAATTTATGTAAATGTAGCATGTTTAAGATGACGTCGCAATTATGTCATTACAGTTATGTAATATTGCGTAAATTTTCGAAAATACACATTGACGTCAACAAAATTACGTTAATGTTACGTAACAGAGAAAATAAAAAATTACGGAACATTGCAACGTAAATGTTGCGGATTCGTTACGTTCATGACATAAATGGTATATCATTATTTCCTCGCAATGTTCTGAAACGCCTACATACAATCTGTTTCGTAAATTTTACGAAAATGTGACCAACATGTTCACTGAGAGCTTATGGATATAAATGACTTACGCTTCCTGTTTTTATATTACATTCATAAAAATAGATATTTATATAAATCATCGGACTAATTTTTCGATTTAAAAAAAATTAAAAATTAAACAATATGCGTTGGCCTATTATTTTATGTATTCACTTTGAGTCTTGTTTTACTAAAACATTTAAGTCTTATTTAATTTAAATTTTATTTTAAAAAAGATTGTGTAAAAGATTATTTTTCGGACATATCTACTACGTATATATTAACGGTCAGGCAGGGACAAAGCAATGCGCCATGAGACGATAGTAAACACTTAACAGTCTCATTACACGTTGCGCGTCCCTGCCTGCCCGTTGTACCGAACTCGTAAGTTGCTACCTACTTTCAATTATAACTCGAAAACTAAGCTTCGGACAAAATTTTGTAAAAGGAAAAATCGTCTCAGAATTCGCTCAAGAATATTGCATTGCAAGGACATCAGGTTATTTTGAATCACCCTGTATATTAAGTGTACAAATAATTCATTATTTTTCATAAAAATTAATGCTCAAATTAACTATTAAAAACTAATACAATTTAATTATAACAATAAAATACACATCATTTTTTACTACTTTTCTTCACCAAACTCCATAAATGTTGCTTAATAGTAAAGTTATTATGAAATTGACCATTAAATCTTTATGTTTCAGAGAATATATTGATTCACCATGTATATGGAATTACTCGGATTTTTCATTATTGCTGTAAGTGCTGTGTATATTTATTACAAGTACGTACTATTTAATTTTTGGCGCAAGAAAGGCGTTTTTTATGTCGAACCTGTAGTACCAGCGGGCAATTTGACAGCTTACGTAACAGGGAGAAAGTCTCTGGGTAAATATATTTTTGCATTAATGAACAATCTTTTCTGTCATATATTTACATCTCCGCGTATTCTTCTGTTATTTCTTTTCTCCTTATATTTCAATCTTATTATTCCCCTTTCTTTCCTTTCGCTTTACTTTTCCAGACACCACGCATGTCTTCATTAATAAATACAAAGTTTACAAATGCGTGTGCTCCAAATTCTTTTTCTATCTTTCGTGGTGTATAAAGTTGCCATTATTTAATCCTCAAAACGGACTCATGGGTCACTCGTGCCCTAACGATTTCAATTGCTAAAGATTTCTCAAAAACCTGTACATACATGCTTGCAGGCGAGTCGCCTATGAGAAAAAAGTTAGGAATGGAATTACTTTAAGGTCAAAAGACTTTTGATATCAGTCAGTTTTTGTTCATATCTTAACGAGCGATTGAAATCGGTGGTACACGAAAGGTACGAAATCGGCACGAAAGGTATACGAGTTCGATTTATGTTGACGGAAAACAACAGTCCGTTTTAACTGTTAAAATATTTGCAAGAATAAGGTTAAAATGATACTTACATTTTATTATACAAAAAGATTATATTATCATATAATAAATTATTTGGGAGACCTTTTTGAACTCTTCTAAAATCACAAAAATCTATACACATTTGTTACGAAAATAGCAAATAAAAATCTAGCAATTCATTCTATTATATTATTGTGTCTCCTCAGATAGCACAAAATATTCTGGGGACATCCTGGACTTACCCTCAGGACATCGATTTATCCCTAAGATGTCTCCAAGATGTTTTGTGCTACATGGGTCTGTTTGATGTGAAAAAATGCGGAACTGAATGGAAACTGTACTCCATAGGTGAACTTTATCTTGATGCCTACATAAAATACAAGAACCACCGTGCCTTCGGAATGTATTCATTCTTTAAACCTAATTTGGTAATCACCGATCTCGATCTTATTCGAACGGTGTTGACAAAGGAATTTCCGAGTTTCCATGATCGTGGATTCTTCTGCAATGAAAAAACTGATCCACTATCGGGCCATTTGTTTTCTCTGCCTGGAAAAAAATGGCGAAATCTGCGCTTCAAACTGGGACCTACTTTCACCCCCGCAAAAATAAAGCAAATGTTTACTATTTTGAAAGAGTTTGGTAGAGAATTAACGCGGTGTATAGACAATAAAAGTCAGGAAACAGATTGCATCGAAATGAAGGACATATTTTCAAGGTGAACAAACTTTTTGAAGAAGTGTACAAGAATTTTAATCAAGAAATATAAATAAATTTGTTATATAAAGATTGCAAATAGGAGGCTGTCACTCGACAAATTAATTTTTTTGAAAAAGTAGATAAAAATATTTAATTTTTTTAAGACACGTGCATATATATAAATACATTTCAAGAAGTAAGCAAAACAAAACAATATTTTTTATCTTGATTGGTAATATTTCTGTAGAACGTCACCAAGATAAACAAGAATGTGTCATAAATTAATAAGTTGATCAATTCGTGATTCTTTTATATCAAGTAGAATATCGAATAGGACGATACTGTGAAAAACACTTTGCAAGATATACTTTGTATTTTTACTTGTACGTACATTGTATAATAATTGATACAAATTTATTAAAACTTATTGAAATGGATTTTTTCGATTAATAATAGATATTCGGCGGACGTAATCATGTCAACAGCTTTCGGAATCGAAGCCAATTGTATAAAAGATCCGAATAGCGAATTTCGACGCTGGGGAAAGAGAGTCTTTGAAGAAAATTCCTTTTGGGTCGCATTGTTTGTATTCATGCCCCAATTTATGAATTTCTTTTCCATTCCTATCACTGATAGAGGCGTCACACGTTTCTTTACAAAAATATTTCGGGAGAATGTGAATTATAGACAAACTTCTAATGTCGTTCGGCACGATTTTATGAATCTTCTGATACAACTCATGGAAAAGGGCTATGTTGAACCCGACGATGAGAAAGATACTAATAAAGACACCGTTAATGTAACTCGTAAGTTCGTAATGTTAATATTTATTTTTGTTATTGTTCGTGTTAACTTGTGCAATATAACTACGCCAAGTAGATAAATGCATCTGTAGTTTTTCTTCTAAAGTATTTCTGCAGATTGCTTATTTAAACATATTTTCATATATATATTTCATTTATTATCCGCAGCAACCATGAATAGAATTACTATGTCGGAAGCTACCGCGCAAAGTTATATTTTCTATTTGGCCGGCTTCGAGACTTCCTCAACGACGGCGACATACTGCGTATACGAATTGGCTCAACACCAACATCTACAAGACAAAGTTCGCAGTGAGATTGATAAGGTATTAGAAAAACATGGAGAACTGACTTACGATGCTGTGAACGAAATGACATATCTTCACAAAGTGGTGAACGGCAAGTATTTTTGCTCCTGCAAAGATAATGGATCAAAGAACTTGAGGAAATATTCAAATACTTTCTTTTCAAATTTATATGTATTTCTAAAAAAAATAATAAAAATTTGTTACATTTTGAAAAGTGCATTTTCATATTTTTTTCGTATTACAGAAACTTTGAGAAAATATCCGTCTGTACCTGTTCTCAATCGTATCTGCACTAAAGATATAAACATTCCAACGACGAACATCCATGTGCCAAAAGGGACTTTAATCTCCATACCGGTGTTCGGAGTGCATCGAGATCCATCGATATACCCAGATCCGGATAAATTTGATCCCGAACGATTCAACGCGGATGAGATAGCGACTAGACATCCTTGCGCTCATCTGCCTTTTGGAGAAGGACCACGAAATTGCATCGGTAAGAACAAATTAATCTATTTATATATGTAAAAACAGGGAATCGTGTAACTAGATAAGTTCGAACAACACTGCACCCTCTCGTTTGCCAGTAGTATTTTTGTCTTTCTTTTTAACAATCATATTCAGATAGATTTTATTAACAACGTGACGGCAAATTGATAGCAAATTTGACAACATGTTAACATTTTTACTGCGCAGTTACACTTCCTTCTTCCAACTTCTTGTTATTTTGATCTCAGATTCGTAGTTAGCAACCTTAAAATTTACAGGTACCTAAAGATTTCTTACATACTAATTTTGCAGTTAAAGAAATATTTCTTCTATAATCAGAAAGGTTGTAACAACTTTGTTACTATTAAAAGTTAACGCAAAGTTAAAGCCGATAATTATAGATTCAAATGAAAGCTGTTCCACTAATGCATCTACATCTAATTTCCAGGTGCGAGATTTGGTTACTTGCAAGTGAAAGTTGGACTTGTGAGCCTCCTGTCGAAATTCAAGTTCAAGCTTCATCCTCGAACTGCAATCCCGCTCTCTTACGATGAACGACCTTTTTTACTCATACCGAAGGGTGGTGTGTATTTCAACATCGAGCCACGATAAAATAATCGCACTTTATTTAATAAGAGATATTTATACTCGACTCCTTAAAGAAAATAAGTTTTCAATATTATTGCACACATTATACAGCGCATCTAACAATTATTGAATAACACAATAGATTTAATATACCGAATATTAACCCTTAATCCCGACTCATGGGTCGTTTTCGACCCAAGCGAAATTTCAAAGTGCTGTAATTTTTGAAAACGGGTACGGAACGCGCCATATCCCGTACCTAAAAAAGTTATGCCCCCCGAGGACCCGCCTACGGAATAGCAGCGCGCCAGTCCCCTCAGGTCGTCACAGTCGAGCATAACATCTCACCGCGGA